TTCCGCACTCGAAGCCACAGTTACCTCCGTGCAATTCAGGCTGGTTATTCCCAAGATGATGACTGCTTGCCTTCAATGACATCCTCCACTGTCACTTCAACTCTCAGATCCACAACAGGTAAACCAGCCCCTCCCCCCAAAATAAAAGAGGGCTTAGTTTACATATCGTCATACTTTGTATACATGCGCACAAACCTGACATACCTACATATGTACAGTGGGGAACCCTTAAGATCCAGAGATGCCAGGCTGGATTCTTTTCATTTTCTTTGGAATATATGGTGTTTGCTTGTCTGTTTTTGCCACTGCTTACTCCCAGTAGTTTAGATGGATTTGCTTCTCTGTTACTTTGCATGAACTGTGCATTGGCCAAGTTTCCACATCTGTACTTTCTAAAAGTAAAAGATTAGGAGACTTAAGATTTATTTAGTAAGATGCTAACAAACCAACATGGTGTGCATTATCACAACACAGCACAACCACATTGCAAGGCATGCAAAACAGGAGTAGCCTTTCCACTCAGCATGTTAAACTGTTTCATTAAATGTGTGGCAAAGCGTGTCAGTTACTTAGGGAGGGGTTGAGATCTGATGTTTCTCAGGGGTAGGGGAATGGTAAGCCTTTCACATGTCCTATCTTGGCTTTGTTAGGTGCACAATTGGTAAATGATTTTCTAATTAACCACATAACCAAAACATAGACACTAATTTAAGGTAAGTCAAGAAGACCTAATAAATGGAAGACATGTACACACACATGCTGGTTGCACAAAGGAACTGATTGTGATTCCAAAAGTTTAGGTAACATAAACCCTAACATTTTTTCTCTAAACTGTTGTATTGTGCTGCATAAAACTGTAAACAGCAATGTCAGGTAAAATAATTAACAGGGTTTGTGTTGATGCTGTTGATTGGGTTTATTTTTTATTCTGATTAAAAGGTTACAATCTAACTTTTGACCCAAATCTTTTATTAATTTTGGAGTAATTTTTAACAATATTTATTTTAGTCTTCATTGACTCTTGCATTCATTAGAATGACAATATGCTGCTCTTTTAATACAACTTGAATTGGTTTTAAGATTTATGTAACACAATGCAATACAGTATGAACACTCAAGCACTCCAGCACCTATGTGCAAGCAGAATCTTTGCAGTACCTCCCTGAGTAAATGTATTTGATGTTTGCCTGCAAGAGTAAAGCTATGAACCCTATTGAAACATTTATTTTTCTACTTACATGATTTGTTTTTCAATATTATAACCAAGGTTTTGTACATTTTTATGTCAATTTATTTCTGGAGAAATTTGCACTTTTACCTCTTTGTTGGTGTTGTTTTCTTATTGAATCTGGAGCCTGATTTGTTTTTTTTTTGTTTTTTAATCCTTCCAACCTTAATTGGGCTTCCATCTGCAATTTCTTCATGACTGAACGACTGTGGATAAAGGTCTCCAATCCCACCGTCTTATTTGCTGAACTCTATTGACTATTGATTGGCTCTGTTCATTTAAAAAATCATTTGGTTTAAAGTTATATTTTGGAGATTAGAATGATTATGTTTAAGGTTATGCAAACACAAAAATAGTTCCTTGGTGATTAGCTGGATACAAACTTGTTCATTGGTGTTCTCTTTAAACTGTTCTTGAAGAACAGTTGTCCTGAAATTAAATGCAATCACCAAACAAGGCTTTTTAAAAAATGATCAGGTCATGCTTTTTTATAGTAGCATTCAGGACTAGTTTGAACCCAGAGGTTAGTGGGCCCTTGAATGGGAAAAGGAATCCCATCATGCTCCATAGGGCAGACGAGCTACAAACCCCTCTCCATTTGACCATCCAGATGTTGAAGGATAACCAGGGGAAAAGAACAACTGGAGGCATCAGTGATGATTGTTTCAGGTATTTTAATGTTGACATGCATACATATCTATGTATATGTGTGTTTTTGCACTGCCTTCTCAGTAGAAATTATAAAACCATAAAGTTTAAGTTACCCTTAGTAGCAAACACAGTTCCAAACAACTCATAAAACCTCAGACATTGTAACTCATTTCTTCTTTAACACTGGTACCACTGAATATAGAATTTTAAAGTGATGAATGTGATGCTGGCTTTTGTGAGTTGTTGATCATGTCTCTATTTTAAGTGTTTCTAGACCATATTGTAAGTGTAACCACATCAGAAATGTAATTTAAAAAGCCTTTCAGAATGTTTTCATGTCGCAACCATAAAATAGTAGTGAATGTCATCACCTTGCCACTGTCTCCAATCATTTGTCAGGGCAGCATCTGGCTGTTGTACATGTGTAGATTTAATTTTTCTCTTGCCATGAAAATTACAGGCCATCTGTGGCAAAGTCTAAACTTTGGAACTGAGTTTGTCAGCTGTCTTTGACTGTGGGATTGCAGCCTCGTCCTGATGGGGCCTTGGAGGCAGAGAGTTTACCTCTCCCTTTGCTGGGTTTTATACAACTCTGCACGGTCTGCACTTTGGACCTGATATGTTCAATAGGGTTCATATTTGCTTCTTAACCCTGTGGGTTGTGATTCCTCTATTCCCTTTTCATCTTTTCTTTTGCACAAAATGGCACAAATTCGGAGTGCTGGGAAGTATTTGGCATGCATGGAGAAAAGGGTCCTCAAAGAAAATTTCTGGTTTGATAACGGTTGATGTATTTCAGTTTTTGTTGTGCTGTGCAGTGAAAAGATGGAAAGAAGCCTTGAGATGACTGAGAAGGCAGTGTAAAAACATTGTGAAAACCTATAGTATGTGAGTTTATTGGACATGAATTTGTCTTTTGCAAAGAAAAGTGACAAAAGACCATTTTTAAAATTTGATTTGCTCTTGTAGTGTGTATATTTACCAAGTTGACATTTTATGACAGTATAGGATTTTTACAGATTTTAAATAAAGAAACAGCAAAACAGTTTACATTCCACCTGCATTACACTATTATTTAGGTTTCGCACAACTCTAATGCAGCATAAGTGATTTGGTGGGTGTTCATCTTTTTATAAGCACTTTAAATTGTAAATTAAATGGAAAAGATTGTCACTCTATAATATCCTTGTCACTCACATACTGTATGTTTTCCATAGATATGTGACCATCCTCTAGTGTTGAATCCTGATCCAATCACATTCCAGTTGTTCCTTTCACCGTGAATGTCCTTATATTTGCATACTCACATTTTTCTTGCAGAGGGATATGATCTTGTGGATGCCACATCCTTGCTAAATGACGACATGATAGAGGATGATGACGGTGCTAGCTCCTCTGCCTATGCAGAGCTGGAGCGGCTAGAGAGAGAGACTGCCGCTGCTCGAAGCCAACATAGCACTAGCTCCACTGTAACGGCCATCTCCGTCCCACCAGCAACCCCACCTTCATATAGGGTCCCTGCTGCCTCACCCATTGCTACCACTGAGCCACCGGTTCCCCAGGCCCTGCAGGCCTTTAAGGAGTCCGCTAACATGGTTGCTGCCTTCAACCTACAATGGAAAGATGAAATATCTGCAATGCGATACGAGCTTGCAGAGCTGCGTAGAGATGTCTGTGGAGAGCTAAAAACTTTCAACAGCAACTTCTTCAACTTCACTCAGTGCTACAATATGTGGACTTTATGCCGGGAGCCCTGCAGCGACAGCACCACACAAACAGACGACAGAGTGTCCATAGGAATTCAAGCAGGCTCAAGCTGGTCGGTTAGACATCATACGGAGGACAAGTCAGTCATGTGCCAACCGGAGCCAGCCCCCTTCAGTATTATGGACTTTATGGGCCCACCTCGAATTGAAATTATCGAAGGAACTCCTGAAAGCACACCGGAGGGGTCAGGCAGTCCTGCAAGCCCACTACCAATAGAGGACTTCCCATGGGAGATTAACAAGAGGCAAAAGGATCATAAGCAGCCAGACACAAGTGGCCACACAGGTGGTCACAGAAGTGCCAGTCTAGAACTGTGGAGCAGAAAGTACACCAGTGGGCCCATGTCATATCTATCTATGTCATTCTAATCATCTACATTTTCTGCATACTGTAAAAGGAATTATAAAGATCTGGGTTAGAAGCCTGATATATGTCAAGAAAAGCTGGGCAAAGCTGTTGTTAAATGTCCCTTTACTCTATGCAGACTCAGTCTGTCATCTCTTGAACTGCTTACAATACGTTTTAAGTAATTTTTTAACAAGTGTCTTGCTAAGCCATGGAATAAAAGAAGGTGATTTTGTTTTACACCAGAGTCAGGGAAAATCCGAATGCGAGAGAGAATGTGGCTGATATTTCAGATCCTCAAGTGCCAAAAAGTGCATCATTAGCTATCCTCTGTCTTTAATACCTTAATTACTGAGAGAGAAAATTGATGTTTGTATAATTGGAAATGTAATCCCATTTTCTGGTCCTACCTGTTTCTTTAAATCTTTGAGGAATGAAACTTAAAATCAAGGACTCAAAAGGGTTCAAAATCCTCCTAAAAATGCCAGGTTTGGGTGATGTAAGAAAGAATACTATGAAAAGTCAATGTAGAACTTTTTTACAAATATAAAGTAGCAAATTTTCTGTACAATCCAACTGAACAACAAATTTGTTATGGCAACAATGTGAAAGTAAAAATGTTGCAACAACCCAGCTGTATAAATGTGCACAAACCTTAAACTAATGCTTTTTCTGAACTAATACTAATTTAATTACTGCATTTAATCTTCTTTCAGAGATTCTTTGATAGAATTTGCCTGCCCTACAATGCAAAAGTCTTATCTGAAGCAAAGCATTTCCTCAGGATAAGCTGTCACCAATGATTCATTGTAGGTATGGTGGGGGTTGTTTTCTTTGTAATTCACAGAATTCGTTTTGTGTCTCTAGCGGTCTACAGCAGTCTCCAGTCCTTGTAGGGCAACACAGAGACACACAGGACAAACAACCATGCACACACTCATTCACACCGTAGTTTAGGCCAATTTAGAGACCCACAATCCAAAAACAGGCATGGAAACCCCATGCAGAAAGACCAACCTGGGAGTCAAACCCAGGACCTTCTTGCTGCAAAGCAACAATGCTACCAACTGCACCACCATGTAGCCCTGTCAAACATACCTAATTAAAATTGTGGCCAAAAATTCCAAATGAGGTTTTCTCAGACATATTTAAACACATTCTCCTGCAAGGTTTCTGAAGATTTTAACCAGGACTTGGTGTTTTCAGTGGAAGAAAATGCTTCTTGCTTTTAACCAGGAACTTGTTTTGACATGTAGAATACAACCAGAGCTTGGCAGAAATTCCTTAGCTCCTTGTGTGTTCCTGTCAGGCTCTTGTTAGCCATGCTGACTTGTCTCTATCTTGTCTTAATGACATATTTGTACAAGAAAGTCTGTACAAATATGGCTTTTACTATGGCTTTTGTTAAAGGGGAAACATGAGTGAATGTCAGAAAAATCATACTTGGTCATCTATTTCGTACTTGACTTTAAAACTGAATGAAAAGGTGCTAAAACAAAGTATTAATTTAGGATTGTGGATATTTACACAACCAAGTTATTGCATCATTTTATTTTATTTTTTTCATTTTTGCCCTAACAGATTGATTTTAGTTGAATTCTATATGAGATCCAACAAAAGATAGAAAAGTTAACATTAATAACATTAATATTGACTATTTTTTACATCACAAAAATCTTGCATTGTCAGTTGGTTGTGTGTACTTCCTATTCACACTGTAAATGGTTGGTAATTCCTTTAAAATAAATAGATAAAACATGTTTTAGTTCAAATTGATACATTTAGAATCTCCACTTGAAGTGTGCCCTTGAAACCTCGTATATCAGGTTATGCAGGCCTAGATAGCCATGCTTCTTCACCCTCAACATCCATTGTGAAAAGCAATTGGGTGACCCCTACCATTGGTGTGAACGTGTAAAAAAAATGCAAGGGCAGAAGAAGTAAAAAGAGAAATGGGATTCATTCTAATTTATAAAACATTATAAAGCCAGGTGTTTTTGGACCACAGAAACCTTTCTCAAAGGTTTTAGGAGAAATTTCCCCTCGTTTTATAAAAGTCCCTTTTGGGATTTTATTAGCTTCTATACTAGTAAGAAAACCCATGAAATTCTGTGCAAAATGCATAAGAAACACAATATTTACTGGAAGAAAAAATGTTATGGAGTATTTTTACATATTTTCAGCATTTTGGATTGTCATTAACATAACTCAACATTACTATCTGGAGTGTATAGTTTCAACAAAAGTCCATTAGAGTATTGTATTTCCAAAACTGTCAGTAAACCCTCAGATCTGATGGTCCAAAAACACCTACTACACCAGAAGGCAAATTTAGTTGCATGTTTCTGCACATGAATCTAAATAGCTCATGTTCATTCCAGTTTCTCATTGTGTAGAAAAATTTTAAGCACCTACATATACTGAAAAAATACTGTGAATACGTTTATAACTTTATAAAACCTAGTTTTGTAATGAATGCATTAAATATTAATATATTATTCAAGAATATATTGATATACTACTGACATTTTAATTATTTCAGTTAAAGCATTCCTTTGCCATTGCCTTCATCCATTTGTAGCAAGTTCCAGCAGAAATGGGCATTCCTGAACATAAATTTACCACAACAATTAATCAAATAAACTACATAGCTACATTATTTCACTTAAAAATTTGAAAATTGCATATTTCAGTGACATGAATATGACATTCTATCAGATTTGTAAACATTTCCACAACACTGTGTTGATTTCTTCATCTCAAGGCTCTAGGAAATTTCAACCAGAATTGTTTACAATGATTCAATTTGAGGGACCACAAAACCCAACTTCGTCTGGAAGGTGTAACAGTAGCGGGGATTCATGGTGATCATGAGGGACGAAAACATTAGGTTCATTCCAGCACAAAGTACATTTATGTTGTATCTCTATAAATGTACAGTATATAAATGTATCATTTTGTATATAGACAAACTTATATTCAAAACTTGTACTGTTTGTAGTTACAAAAAAATACTGTGTTCTGATAGAACTGGGAGGCATTGTAGGGGTAAATGTGGTTCTTGACAAAACAAACGTTTTTACTTCTTACTCTTCCCCAGCTATTTATTTTATCATAAGCAACTTAATGAAGAACTGTTTTCTTTTTGCACATCATGATGAAATGTGTAATCCAATTTTGTATATGGTATTGACTGGAGGGCCTCACATGTTTGATATAGTGTCTTACCATTTAGAATGTCTTTTTATTTTACATGAAACTATCAAACAAACACTGAATTTCATCAGTTGTTCTTTAAATGTTATTTTAGTTTGTAAGGTAATTTTATCATAATCAGTAATTGTAGAAGTATTCCAAATGTCTTGACTCGGGCAGTTCATAATCTCTCAATTGTAATAATTTAACATTATCCCTACAAGTAGACAATCAGAGCCTACAAAGGCCTCTACCTCTTAGGAAATGTACCCAGAGGTGCAGTATAGTACTGCTGAATGTTTTAACACCGCCTCACTAGTGATAGCTAAGGTGGGCTGCTGTCTTAATGGATAGGGGGTCTTAATTATCGTTTTGTCTCATAACTGCCACAGCCATTTCACTTCTTATACCATTTTTCCAACTTGGTGTACCAAAGCTCAAACGGAAATGCATAGATCTGAGTCCAACAGGCCCACACTTGACAGCACTTAAATCTGAACAAGCCCTGCAGCATTAAGAAGCCTTTCTTTCTGTCTTTCTTTAATAAAATAAAGGCTTAATCTCCCAGTTCAAAAAAAGAAAATTATTCCCCCTTTGCACTACCAGAATACAGCATTTATCTAAGATGTGGTATTTTAATTAATTCACATATGTAAAATACTGTACTACATGTAAAATTGGCATTAAAATTAAGGTGATACAAGAAAATGCAGGAAAGTCCCATTGGGCTCTTGCTGTTGCTCCGTCTAATGCTGGGAAATTCATGTTCATCTGAAAAAAAAATTCTTCAGTTTCTAAAGTTGCAATTTAAATGAAATACACAACTGATGTAATGCACACCTAAAAAGGAATTATGTTATGTGTTATGATGTGGAATTATTATAAGGGAGAAGTATTGCTCACATTTACTGAAGTTTATTAAATGTATAGTTAAAAAGCTTTTGCTAACCCTGGAAGCTTCAAGATGTCTTGAAAGTAGTTGCTTATATTGTGTAGCTGTAATTGTGGCCCATTCCTTCACACAAACATATCCAAATCTTCAATTCTTTCCATATAGTTTTAATTGGATTCATGTGCCTTTACTGGGTAAGCCATTCCAGGAGCTTTATTTTCTTTCTCTGAAACCAACTAAAGGATTCATTCACGATGTATGTTGCTTCAAAATCATCCTTGATGCATCTTTTATAAAGAAGGTTTTAGTATATTTCTCCATCCATTTCTCCTTCAATTATATGAAGTCTATATCAGTCTATATCTCTATATTATATGAAGTCTA